TATTCAGTACTTGAGCAAGCAAGGTAATGTTTTTACAACTAATTTCTGGTTATTATAATAAAGGGATACAGGATGAACAGCGTCTGTACTCCATGTTAGGAGCGACTGCACATGGCGTCTGTTTCTCATGTTTGAGGCGGCCATTTCTTTCAGAACTAAGTCTGCCTGCTACTGAGTAGTGCTCCCAGTCTTAATGACAAAGGAAGACGCATTTTACTTCACTTAATCATGATGGCTGTCCTCTACAAGCTTGATACCGTAATATGATTGAGTGGAGATAAGAAAGAAGAAGATAATATTTGTGGAAGAAATTTAATATCTATTATATGTGAAAAAATAATAAAAAGGTCAGGTGTTGGTATTAAAATCAAAAAAAGGCATATGCTGACTGCGAGAACATCTGCTTTTTAGATGGCAGAGCGCGATCTAGTGGAACAGAAATCAACTGAAACTCTTAAAGCTTTAATGTAATAGTTTCTGTGTTATCTCGAGCCTTTCCATATATATTTATTCGATAGCAGTTTTGTCTATTTTGCATCTTTTCTCTTTTCGCGCTGTTTATACAAATTGCCTCTACTGTATATGTTTGAGAAACTCTTGCCATTGGTATCTTGCTATGTGATAGCCGCCTGTAGAAGGGTTTTTACCCGAAACCTCGTGCTCGTTTTATATAAAAAAGACACCCATCTTCCTTATCGCCTGGTTCATTTCAAAGTTTACTAGGAAGAGTTCTTTGCAATTGATTTAGCCTGTTCCTGATATTTGGCTAACCCATTTTAGTTGAGTATGGTTCCATAGATGGCGCTTTGCCATCTAAATATCTCATATGCTCGTGGTCAGGAAATGTCTTTTTTTTATTTGAATACGTATTATAGTGATACAAAATACATTTTAAATATAAAAAGGACATATCCTGACCGCTCACGTGAGAATATTAGATGAAAAAGCCACATCTATTGGGACAAAAATGAAATACAACCATACCTCGCTTTGCGTCGGGGTTACGTTCCAAAAAAAAAAAAAAAAAACACGACGCAAATTGAAACGACGCAAAATGAAAATAAAATTTTATGGCATGGCGCAATCAAAAACAAAGGTGTTGTCATATTTAAGGAAAATAAATTTAAAAAAATTAAAGACTCGAATCCAAAAAACGCAACTTCAAAAATCTAACGACGCACAGTGAAAATCAATAAAAAATTAAGCAGCGACGCAACTTCGAAAAAAACGCAGAACGAAACGACGCAAAGCGAGGTATTGGTGTAAACGTTTATTTAGGTTTGTTACGTAATTTTCCTTGCAACCTCTGTGATAGATGCATGGGGACATCTGAGACTCTTCATTGGACACGACAACAACAACAAAATAGATTTTCAACCTATTTTCTTGGTATCCAATAAAGGCCACTGTTTCAAATATCTTTCAGAGTTATTATCTGAATCCCGAAATACATATTAAAAGGTACAACTTCCTTAAGTTTTGTCTATGAGTGTAGGTATAGTATAGTATCTTTGAAAGAAAAAATGCAAAAAAACTTTACACCTAAAAACTTTGCTTTATATAGAGAGATAATACAGAAAAATCATTAGGTTAACACATTATTGAGTAAAATAATAAGATATTTTAATAATTAATCAACATTTTATTTATTCGATTAATGACTCTTAATTGTAAATATTGACACCTATTAAAATTCTGAGTGCTAGAAATGTTTTAAATTGTGATGAGAGAAGCGTGGACGCGGGCGCCGCTTGGAGGCGCTGCATGAAGATAACTGACCAATGGGAACGGCCCAACTCAACGGTCCCTCTTCATCTTGTATATACTTTAGCCTGCTTTTGTTCTACTGCTGTGTGCGGTTGCTATTATTTTGTCAACATATATATCCTTATATCTAATAATAATACTATATTTATAAAATCACTTATTTGGCTGTTCTTTTGCATCACCGACCCACAACAAATTGTTTTATTAGTTGAAACTTAGAGGTTTAAAAAATCATTTGGGTGGGCTACATATTTTTTTTTGTCCCCTAGTGCAATTTACCTTTGTTTTGGAGGGAATATATGAGTCAGTAAATGGAAAAGATGTATTAAAATCACAGAGGATATTTTGCCCGGTATATATATTCCTGAAATGCTGGTATCATTGTTATAGAAATAAGACAAATTTTCCCTCTTAAAAAAAAAAGACTAGTTTTTTCATTTCTTCCTTATATATATACTAGCCGAATGACCCGGGCAACGCCCGGGTTTTACCCGACTAAATGCTTTTATTCAAATACTATTCGTTACAATTATAAATTGGCGCCGTGGATGTCATTCTTGTATAATATATAAATGAGTTTTAAAAATTGTAAAAAAAAAAAAAAAGAAATGCATCAGCCGGGAATCGAACCCGGGCCGCCCGCGTGGCAGGCAAGCATTTTACCAATAAACTACCGATGCTTATAAGAAATGGCCATATTTGGGTATTTATTCCATTCACAAAAGCAAACGGTGACAGAATTAAGAATTGATTAATGACTCTGATACTTGTATATTTTAATAATCATGGTTAAAACTTAAGGAAGTGCAAAGTCTTTGATGTCGTCCGTTGAGTGTTTTTTGTTAAGGAGATAGAAGCAATTTTGTTCACACTTAGTTAACTCCTGTGTCTTCATTAAGTCACTGTAATATTTTTCATATTTATTATCTGAATCCCAATATATATACTAAAAGGTATAGCTTCCTTAGGTTTTAACTATGAGTGTAAATTTCTTATTTTAAAAATATAATTTAGTTTTCTTTCATTTATATATATATATATATGAAAAAAACAATAGAAAAAAACAAAAGATAAGTGGGTCAAGTGTTTATATTAAAAATAAAGAAGGCATTTCCTGACCACGAGCACATGTGCTTTTTAGAAGGCAAAGCGCCATCTAGTGGAGCAAAAATAAACTAAACGTTTATTTAACTTGCTCCGTGATAAAAAGCACATGTTCTCGTGGTCAGGAAATGCCTTTTTTATTTTTAATATATTTTGAAAATCGAACAATCCATTTAGATAACTTTGAATAAATAACGCTTATTTTTGGATCAAATTTCGGATGAATTCCCCGATGAAGATAGGCGAATTGCCTTATCAAAATATTGGAAATTATAATAAACATTTGATCCAAAAATAAGCGTTATTCATTTGAATATATATATATATGAGAAATAGTTACCTAGAAATTATTTGAAAAAGAAAGGATAAAACAATATTAAGGTAAAGGGATTATTTTAATTTTGATTTTCGCAAGCTTTCGAGCTAATTTTCTGCTCTTCAACGGGCATATACTTCTATATACAATATCAAGATGAACTTTGTACAGTAATAATTGAAAAATATGTTATTGGCATGTGTGGGCGTGCATCAATTACCAATTATAACAATTATTTTATTTCCAAAGCGCTATATCCCGCAAGGGATACTTGCACCAAACACGGAGAAAGGTTTATTTACATAATTTATTTACATTATTCAACGCATGAAAACATTAGAGATCCAGATTTTGTAGAAAGTTTAGAATGCATTCACAAAATGAATTGAACTTTAAATATGATTTTTTATCGTAAATCAAATCGTTAAGTTCACAAACAACTAGTTCATTCTTCATTCTATACTGTTTACAGCTAAAATATTAGCTATTTTAATTAATCCAACGTTCGAGAAATATTTTTCCGAGAGATGTACCAAGCTTCATTGCTCTTGATAAATACACTACTTTGTTCTTCACAGGCAAAGGACCATATTAAAGTTTTCTCTTTGACTTGAGAGTTATAAATGATCCAACATGTGAATTCTGTCTAGATGTTGAAACACCAGTTGTTGGCTTGCCCTCTGACTAACCAAATTGTACTTGCTTACTTTGACATAATGCCATCTTTCTGTATATACTCAATCTTATGAACACTTTGGCAAGTTTAGAGCAATTTGTACACAGATTTATAAATCACTACTAATTCATCGTGTAAATAATTAAAGATATATATGTAAATAATTTTAATATAGCACAACAATAGTCTGATAGACTTCGTGCTTCTGTAATAATAGCCGAATGACCCGGGCAACGCCCGTGTTTTACCCGATTGAATGTTTTTATTCAAACACTATTTGTTACAATTATAAATTGGCGCCTTAAATAAATGCATATATTAGTTAATAACTATAGCCTATATGCTTTATCTGTCTATGCACTGTTGGCTTCCGTTGGCGTCTCTTACTGGGAAAAAGAAAGAGAGGATTCCATTTAGTTATTAACTAATATATGCATTTATTTAAGGAGCGATCCGCTCCAACACAATAGTTACAAAAACGAAAAAGCGAGTGGGGGGGGGGGGCAAAGGTGGCGTGATAGTAGCCAACCAATAGGAGGGCGCCATTCCAAAGAAAAAGCAAACGGTGACAGAGATGACAAATGATTAGGAGATGAAGAATTAAGAACGGGTGACGCTCGTAACTGTATATAGAATACAATAAAAATGGGATGAAAAATATATTAATTTATAGATCATTAGTCAAGGATAGTCGTGGGCCTATATCCCCTACAATATGGAATATTATTCTAAACGATTTATTGAATAACTATTCAGAATCAAACAGTGAAATCATTGCTTATGCGGATGATTTAACTGTGATATGTTGGGGAAACAACTTGACAGAACTTCGGAATACAACAGGAAAGGTCATGGAGAGAATATTAGACTGGTGTGGGAACAATAAGTTGACCGTATCTGAAGAGAAAACGAAAATCTTATACTTGTTTAATAGCAAAATAGCTGCAAAAATTCCTAACACTATCACTGCCAATCGGGTAGAAAAACTGAAGATTATGGGAATAACTTTTAAAAATCATAGAAATAAAAACAAATTGGATTTTGTGCCCCATATTGATGAGATTATTACTGAGACAAAAAGAGCTAGTGGATACCTAATTGGATTAACCGGGAAAGCATGGGGACTGGACAGTAAAAAATGAATAGAACTCTATAAGACACTGTTTCGAAGTTCACTAACTTATGGTTCCACGATCTGGTACAACTTTATACCCAAAAAAGTCAAAGATAAATTAAACTCTCTGCAGTACAAAATTTTGAAGCACAGTACACAGGTTTATAATTCAACATCTTCAAACTGTACTCATATTGTTGCTAGAACACCAAAGCTCACGGATTTTATTGAAACAAATATACTAAAAATGAATATTGGATACAAAAAATCATCCAACTAAAAGAAAAATGATGTCTAATTTTATAAACCAGAAATTTGAGGAATACTATGGAGGTGCCAATGATATTTTCAAGGGATTCTTTGATACTTCAAGAATTCCTAACTATGTTCAACCCAACTTCTATAACGTTCAATTTTTTACTGGACATGGTGACTTCAACACATATTTGTTTAGAATTGGCAAAATTGGTTCACCTGCATGCACTTGTGGAAACGAACAACAAACCCCTGAACATCTTCTGATAGACTGTCCATTAATTTCTGATCTAAGGGAAGAAAACCAACTTTACCTGACTAATACAAAACAAGCTGCTTGCAATAAAGACCAATACATCAAGTTTAATAGATTCTGCAGGATGTATATTTTGAGGCGAAAGCGTTGACTGTACATATTTCAAGCTACTACTTATAATTGCTATATGTAAAATTTGACATTGAACGTTTAATTTTAATGATTTCCAATGTTCAATTGTATTAATTGTATATAATTTAAAATATACACGCAATTATCCAAATTGTGGATATGGCGTGTCTCTCCCAACTGTTAAATAAATAAATAAATTAGTCAAGGATATTTATCATATTGGTTTGGGAGATATTCATATAAATATTTTAACATGTTTCTTACCTTAAAAACTGTATGGGAATTCCAATACCTTCTGAAACACACAAAAATTCAATTTCAAACCATATATTGAAAGAGGGTAGAGTACAAAGAGTGTTATATTGGAAAAATAATATATCAAAACATCAATGAGAACTTATCCCACAAAAAGCCAAACATTTTTTTTTCAAATTTCCAATAGGCCTAACAAATAATTGAAACGAATCAAGAATGTTTTTTTTTTGTAATTGTTGATGATAGATTTGTTACCAACTTTTTTCAATTTATTATATTTTAGCTTTGATTGTTAAAATAATTCTTTTTTTAACAAATAAACTATTGTAGGGGTTACAATTGATCAATACCGATTTATTTTTGTGTAAAGTTTTAATTTAAAATCTCAAGTGGGTGGAAACATTTCGATATTATTTAATATCCGTATAGAAAAGATGTTATTTGAATACTAGAGGGAAAGAGATGGTGTCATTTTTCCTTGTTTTTATAGTAATCAAAATGCTCTACACTAACACTACTATAACACTCTACTACTATACTCTAATACTCTATATTATTATTATTATTATAACTGGACATTTCATTTTTTTATTATTAAAGAAGCACGAAGCCTATCAGACTATTGTGCTATATTAGAATTATTTACATATATATCTTTAATTATTTACACGATGAATTAGTAGTGATTTATAAATCTGTGTACAAATAGCTTTAAACTTGCCAAAGTTTTCATAAGATTGAGTATATACAGAAAGATGGCATTATGTCAAAGTAAGCAAGTACAATTTGGTTAGTCAGAGGGCAAGATAACAAAAGATGCTCTGGTGTTTCAACATCTAGACAGCATTCACATGTTGGATCATTTATAACTCTCAAGTAAAAGAAAAAACTTAAAAAGGGTCCTTTGCCTGTGAAGAACAAAGTAGTGTATCTATCAGAAGTAATGAAGTACATTTTGCAGTACATCTCTTAGAAAAATATTCTATTAACAGGACATCAGGGGACCATATCTGCGAGGGCCACAGTACTGACCAGGAGTCAGAATAACAAATGTAAATATCTTTTAAAATACAATATAACGCGGCTGATGATTGTAAAACGAAAATTGCAATTATACCGCGAATGTTTCTTTTAAACAAAAATCGAAATCTATTTTAAAGAGAAATAACGATTATTTCTAACTTTAAGAAGGAAGTATGATAGGATGAATTGTGAAGAGTAATGACAAACGGAAAAATAAAAGTGTCCAGGGGCGGGAATCGAACCCACATCCTTCTGCTTACCGGGCAGGTGCCATGTCCACTAGGCTACCCTGGACGTATTTTTCCGTTCGTAAATAATATTTAAAGTAACTTATAATACATTTAAAATACAATATAACGCGGCTGATGATTGTAAAACGAAAATTGCAATTATACCGCGAATGTTTCTTTTAAACAAAAATCGAAATCTATTTTAAAGAGAAATAACGATTATTTCTAACTTTAAGGATGAAGTATGATAGGATGAATTGTGAAGAGTAATGAAAAACGGAAAAATAAAAGTGTCCAGGGGCGGGAATCGAACCCACAAGTTGCAATTTTCGTTTTACAATCATCAGCCGCGTTATATTGTATTTCAAATGTATTATAAGTTACTTTAAATATTATTTACGAACGGAAAAATACGTCCTGGGTAGCCTAGTGGACATGGCACCTGCCCGGTAAGCAGAAGGTTGTGGGTTCGATTCCCGCCCCTGGACACTTTTATTTTTCCGTTTGTCATTACTCTTCACAATTCATCCTATCAAACTTCATCCTTAAAGTTAGAAATAATCGTTATTTCTCTTTAAAATAGATTTCGATTTTTGTTTAAAAGAAACCTTCGCGGTATAATTGCAATTTTCGTAAATATCTTTGTTTACTTTTACAGTTGTTATTTATTGAAATTGTAAACAAAAATATGTAAATAGACTGACCATTCTTTATACCTTTTAGAGAAAAACTTGTAACCTTTTTTGAAAATAAATTTATTATTATTTTATTATCATTATTAATAATACTTTTTTTTAGAAAATTAGTATTATCACTATATTATAAGACAATAACACGCCATCTATATATAAAAATTAAAGTACTAAATCACGAATGTTTCTTTAAAATATAAAACAAACTTTTACTGTCCTTACTGCGATGAAAAAATATTGTGAGGGCTTGGCACATCATAGTTTGTCTGAATACCATATCTAAGATTCCATCCTTCAATGTAGTATATATAAGCAGAATGATCCAATAAAGCATTAGAGCTCTAAAAAGGAGTCTGGTAGGATAAATTGGTGAAACCGCTGAGAAGGTTTATTACTGATGAGCCAAGAACTCTCAAAATTCTTTTATCGTAGTAAAGTCAGAAGGAACCTACTTTTTTATATAAAAGAATCTCACTAAAATAGTTTCAGTGTTTTCATACGTGTTTCATATATTTCATTAATATCTTAAAGACGTGATTCTAAGAAGTGTAAGGATGGTAAAAGTTTTTTATGGGTAAAATAAACATTCGTGCTTTAGTGCTTTCACACATGCATCTCTTATTGTTATCACTACAATATGATAATGTAAAAAAATAGTACAAATGTGATATTGTGTTGTTGATGTTTCTTATCCCCTTGTGTAAAGATTACACGAATTCCATGATCTCATGGAATGGGGTATAGGGGTGCAGCTTTCGTTGATCATGGCACCATGATCCAGGCACACTTTGGTGAAAGTCTGACTTTGCCTGTGATTTGAGGCCATTCCAAATATGGAAGCCTTTGTTTCTGACTCTAACATGAGCACAGACGCAGCTCCTCCGTATCCCTGGAGTGGAACCATTGCTGAGGTCCATCAACTGGGTCAGTTGAACTCAGGATTTTTAAAGAGGAGTGTCCCTCCTGGTTACAGCATCAAGTCTACCAGAACAAGACTTGATACAATCGTGTAGAGAGTTTACTGTACCTCCCAACAATGTCCACTGCACCACAGGCCAGTTACAGAGGGGTAAGCATGGGAGGTGATGTGATATTGTACTGGGATAAGGTACATAAATTATGAAAAAAGCATCTCCTTATCGTGAAAATGAAAGTTGCTGATGACTTGCGCCATCTATCGGAATAAATATCAACTATTCTCGTTGATTATCAATTATTAACTATTATTAACGAGAATAGTTGCTATTTATTCCGATAGATGGCGTAAGCCATCAGCAACTTTCAGTTGCACGATAAGGAGATGCCTTTTTCATAATAATATAATAATGTTACAACTATTACTATACCAGTATTATCCATTGAAATACCGTCTATAAATAGTTAATAAACCCAGTTTCTCCTGGAGATGGTCTCTCATCAATGTCTGAATGCCATTAATCAAGTTATTGACTGAGTGTCAGGATGTCTAATGACTTGTCCTGAGATTACAGTGTTTTATGATGAAATACGACCTACAGGAGAGTCCAAGTGTAGGCAATGATACGGATGTCTACTATACTACTTTTTCTTGAAAATAAAGATACTTCAGCAAGTAAATCTTTTTATTACCTCGACGTTTCGACAAAAAAACTTTTGCTCTCGTCAGGCGCAAACAAAATTTTAAACAATGACAATTTAAACAATCAAAACAATTAAAACATCATCATTATGATTTTTAACGCCTTGCCAAATGTTTTAATTTTTGTTTGTTCCTGACGAGGGCAAAATATTTTTGTCGAAACGTCGATGTAATGAAAATTTACTGTCCGAAGTATCTTTATTTTCAAGAAATATGAATGCTGGCCAGGCAGCCTCTATTTTTACGGTATACTACTCCATACAACTATTATTCTTAATAACACTACTGCTACACATTAATAATATTTTGGTAAGGATTGTTTCAGTAGTTAAAGACGTTTTAAGACAAAAGGACAGACAACATTATTGTCTTATATTAATACATTGTGATCTACAGGTCTTGGTAGTATGATGCAGAGATTGTGGTATCTATAGAAGGCAGTGTACATTCAAAAGGTATCACATATATATATATAATTTCTTTCAATTAAAAAGGCATATATTGGATCAAAATAACATTTATTTTACCAATATATCAGTTGGCTGAACGCCAACCTTTATCAAGGTATTATAACATATTAATGTGTGTCAACAACAAACTCAGCGCCACATAACGTCATAAGAGTTAGGTTTTAAAAATATTTTGTTATATTTTAAGTTTTGAAAACCTAATTCTATTGACGTTATGTGGCGTTGAGTTTGTTGTTGACACACATCAAATATGTTATAACACCTTGATAAAGGTTGGCGTTCAGCCAACTGAAATATTGGTAAAATAAATGTTTTTTGATCCAATATATACCTTTTTAAAAAAGGTTTATTTATGGATTGCTCTATTTTCAAATAATATACATACACTGCGTGACATTGAAAATGGAACACTAAGAAATAGTGGCCAGAAAGTGATGAAACTCGGCAGACAGAGAGAGACAGGGACGAACAATAAGTGATCTTTAGTTCAAAATGATAGTCATAATACAGAGCGAAAACGGCGTCGGCTTAGTAGCAAGTAGGACCACCGCGGACGGCGATGCACGCAGCAACACGTCTAGGTAGAGAGTCAATCAGAGTACGGATGGCGTCCTGAGGGATGGCTCTCCATTCCCTCTCAACCATTTGCCACAGTTCGTCTTCTGAACGCGGCTGTGGCAAGGCGTGCAAACGGCGTCCAAAGATGTCCCAGACGTGCTCGATTGGTGAGAAATCAGGAGAGTACGGTGGCCAGGGAAGCATCTGTACATCTTGCAGAGCTTGTTGGCTGATGCGAGCAGTGTGCGGTCGGGCGTTATCCTGCTGATAAAGGGCATTGGGTACCCCCTGAAGGTAGGGGAGTGTCACCGGTCGCAGCACATCATCAACGTATCGTTGGGCCGTCATAGTGCCCTGAATACGAAGTAAAGGTGACCTGGAATCATACGCGATTGCGCCCCAAACCATGATTCCACGTTGTCGCACGGTGGGGCGTTGCACAATTGCTGCCGGATTGGACCTTTCTCCACGTCGACGCCACACGCGTACACTGCGACTATCACTGGAAAGCAGAAACGCGACTCCTCTGAGAACACGACCCTGTGCCATTCCGTCATCCACGTCGATCTAGCCCGGCACCATTCCAAACGTTGGCGCCTATTCGGTGGGGTCAATGGCAGTCTTCTTAGCGGACGGCATGAGTGCAAGCCATTAGCAACCAATCGACGGGAAATGGTTCTGGTCGAGATGGAATGATCTAGGGTGTCTTGCACATGTTGCAGGATGGCGGTACAAGTGGCTTGTGGGGCCGCCACTGCTTGTCGAAGGATACGCCGATCCACACGTGCTGACGTCACTCTGGTTGCACCGGCATTCCTATAAATTGCCACATTTCCTTGTTCCACCCATCTTCTCCACAGTCGGTGCACCGTGGACGCACCAAGGTGTGTATCAGCTGCGATTTGACGTATGGACCAACCTGCCCTTTTCAGTCCGATCACCATGCCCCTCGTAAAAGCGTCTGTCTGCTTGAGCTGCCTCCGTTTACGATGACCTGGCTACCTCTGTTATTACACGTGTCTTTTGACACAAGAACAAAATTCCTACAATGATTTTCCTTGAAGAAATAACGACACGAATACTGTCCTTTATGCAAGTTCCTTCCCTTATATCTTACTCCATGTGCGCACGAGAGCTGCGCATTTTACATCATTTGCATAACTCGGTTAGGCGCGTCTACCCTGAAATTTGCATAATTTTCTGGCCACTATTTCTTGGTGTTCCATTTTCAATGTCACGCAGTGTATATACATATAAACATATTAATATATTATGATATACAGGTCGTGGTAGTATGATACAAAGATTGTGGTATCTATAAAAGGCAGTCAAATTACAAAACTATTTTAGAGGCGTAATATTCTTTTTAAAATAAAACAATTTCTACTGTCCTTACTGCGATGGAAAAATTAAAGGGAGGGCCTGGCTCATCAGTGGTGAACCCTCCCAGCGGTTTCGCCAGTTTAATCTACCGCTGGGAGGGTTCACCACTGATGAGCCAGGCCCTCCCTTTAATTTCTCCATCGCAGTAAGGACAGTAGAAATTGTTTAATTTTAAAAAGAATATTACGCCTCTAAAATAGTTTTGTAATTTGATAACAGATGGCGCGCTAGTGCATCGTAACATAAAAGGCAGTGTACATTCAAAAAGGATCACATATATAAATGTAAAACAACATAAAGTTGCTCTAAGATGATATTCATGTAAATTCCACCGATTTCATAA